TTGTTTACGTGTTGTCTTCCCCATTAGATTGTGAGCTCCTCAAGGGCAGGCAGGGTCTTTTGCCTTTATTTATATCTCTAGTGCTTAAGCATAGGGAACAGCTTATAGTAGGTACTTAATAAATGTGTGTTGACGAGCAGACTGAGAGCATGTTAGACTTGGCATCAAAAAAGCCCTGAGTTCCGATCTTACCTCAGACTCATCCTAACTATGTAACTAACCACAGGTAACTTCTCTCAGCCTCAGTTGCCTCACCTGTAAAATGGAAGATTATACTAGCATCTACTTCACAGAGTCGTTGCCAGGATCTAATGAGATCATGTGTAAATTGCTTTGTAGACCCTAAAGTGTATATGAATGCTAGCTATTATTCTAATAAATAGAGTTCTTTGTTATAATAGTGGAAGCTATGAAGGGAAAGGTGGGGAAAGAACAGCAATGTTGTTTTGTTTTGTTCTGAACTCTGTGCTACCTCAACTTTGCGAGCTATCCTTTAGGAAGCAAACTTTATTATCATTATTATCATTATTGCTGTTGTTGTTGCTGTAGGCCTCTTTCATTTCCAACAGGTAAGGCTATATGGCTTATAGGATTTAGAGCTAGAAGAAATCTTAGGTTTCCTGCAGTGTGATCCCATTTCACAGAGAAGGACACTGAAGGTAAGAGAGCTAAAGCGACTTACATAAAATATACATATACATATACATATACATATATATATATATATCTTAATGAGTATACCCTGGTTTTGAACTCAGAGTTCCTTTTGTGATGTCACACTATCTTTCTAGGTAAATACCAGATCTCCCTTGTAATAGGAAGGAAAGAAAGAAGGAAGGAAGGAAAGAAGGGAGGGAGGGAGGGAGGAAGGGAGGGAGGGAGGAGAGAATAAGAAAGAGAAAAGGAAAGGAAAAAGATGAGAGAGAGAGAGAGAGAGAGAGAGAGATATTCATTCCGTGGTCTGTATTTCTGAAAAGCAAAATTCTTCCTGAATATAGAAGATAAGAGAGTACTGACACCTGCTCTTCTGACTGCCCATGAGCACAGGGGATCACATAAGGCATACAACACTAATAAAAATAGCATTACCAAAGCTGTCTGTCTTTTAAAAAAAGAAGTGCTCGTCCCTCCATGCCATTATTTCACATGAGCTAACCCCAGGGTTAAGAGGATGAACTGCTATAGAAAGGAACTGTGAGTTTCATTTCACCATCCTATCCCACCTTTACACTTCACATCAATTTTTAAGCAGAATTGGATTAAATGTCTACCCAAAATTTTACTTGGCTCTAACCTCACCCTCCCTACAAAATAGCCTATCTGCAGCTTTTTGACCACTCTCTGAAACTTGTTTTTTCTTCTCTCTACAGTAAAGTCAAGCAGACTGGTGATCTGATTCCTGCAATTTTAAGTTACTGCAGGTCTGACGTTGCACTGGTTACACATTGCTGCATCTATCAAATGAAACGGGAGCACAAAGGGAATCTCCAAATGCAGCTGCTATTTCCCATTTGTTAAATCCTTTTATTACACCATATAAGTACACAGCTGGGAAATACTATAGAGTGGGAGTTAAGACAAAATATTTTGGCTTCCAGACATTCAGAATTCACAAAGGCCCCAGTGGAAAGCAATGCTTGATATCAAAAGGGAGGGAAAGTTTGAAAACATTTCTAGCCAATATGCTTTTTTTGATGATGATGTATAATGTACTTATAGCTTTAAAGTAGTCTATATTACTATAAATTTTATTTGATAAAAATTTTGGAAATAACTGATTTCACGTATTTTTTTTTAAAATTTCAAATCACAAAACAGTCTGAATTTCTAAAGTCTGAAGATGAATGACCAGAACAGGGACCACCCCCTGCCAAAGCAAAAACAACATACTCCACGATACAACTCTATTGGAGTTGTGGCAGCACATTTTTGACTAATAGAAATAGTCAAATTCTCACTAAAGAAGTATAACTTTGTCTTTCTCCCATCTCAATCTGCTAGTAGAGAAACTTCCTGCTCAGGACTTTTGTAAAATTTGTTTTTCTTTCAACACTTGACTTCTTGACAACAAAACTAATGGCCATACTATCCTGCCATCTTGAAAAAAGGATTCATGAGAAGTCAACCAAACGAGGCTCAAATTCAAAACACACTCCACTGGGGAGCATGTCTGAAACCATTTAACATTATCATTTATTATTCATTGATTATTCAATACCCACTGGCTCCATGGCCCTCTGCTAGTTGTAAGACTCTCTTCCTTTCTCTTTTTCTTTCTTCCTTCCCTTTTTTTTTTCATGATGAAGGGGAAAGAGCTGTGGATTTAGAGTGAGATGGCCTGAGGCAAACCTTTGCTCTTCTAAGAATTAGCAACTAGTATTTCTATGGCTCTTTAAAGTTTTCAAAGCACTTTAAAATTTTTATATTATCCAATATTCACAACAACCTTATGAGATGGGTGCTATTATTATCCCCATTTTACAGATGAGAAAACTGAGGCAGACAAAGGTTAAGTGACTTGCCTTCAGTCGCACAGCTAGTAAGTGTCTGAGGCTGCATTTGAATTCAAAATTTCCTGAGTCCAGGCCTAGAACTCTATCCATCATTCCAGCTGGCTGCCTCATACTACCTGAATGACTTTGGACAAATCACTTCTCTGGGTCTTTGTTACATCACCTATAAAGTGAGAGCATTGGACTTATGATGTCTAAAGTCCCTTTTAGGCTCTCCAGGCTACCATTCTTCTGTTTCCCTTTCCGGCTCCCTCCCTTACTCTCCTCCTCTCCTCCCAGTCTCCCTTCCAGTGGGATGCAGTTGCCACTGACCTAAAGCAATGTGGACCCTAAGGGAGAAAGGGGCCCTGGTGTGGTAGTTGTATCTCTCATCACTACATGTTCTCAAAGCAATTTGAGGTAAACTTCCAGAGTCTACAGCTTATTAATATGTGTAAACCACATTTAGGACTGGGATCAACCTCAGTGATTTCATAATTCATTTGCTCTCAAGGCAGAGGAAGTTGAAAGAGCCTTGAAACTACTATAGGTAAGAAATCAATAGAAGTTGGAGTGTTTTGAAATGATCTCCCTTCAATTGGATATGCAAGTGACACCCAGAAGTCAATTGAGTCCAATGCTGTAGACATTCTCCTAAGGGTAAAGGGAAGAGAACAGCAGTGGCTAAAGCCTTGCCTTTTCTCTCTTGCTTTTGGGGTATGTGGTGATCCAGGCATCCAATTTTCAACAGAACACAATGACTAAGAAAGCTTGTGCCTGAGCCTTGGTCAGGAGAACCTGAATGTGGGTCCTAACCCCACCCTTAACAAAGGTAATAACATTTTTCTAGAACTTTTACGTTACATCACATAGATATTATTATGTCCATTTTACAGATAAAGAAACTGATACTCCAAGAGGCTGAGTATGCTGCTGATGGTCAATCCACTATGATGTATCTTCCAACTAACTGCCCAACCTATGCAGAAATATACATCCTCTGTTTCCCAATGATACATGCCTGACCACGGAGAAAGAAAGTTTGCCTAATAAACAACAATGTTAAATGGTTGCAGACATACTCCCCAGTGAAGTGTGTTCTGAAGTTGAGCCTCATTTGGTTGACTTGGGGATATCTATTGAGATGTTCCTTTTCATTTTAAGACTTCAGCTTGCCCAGAAAAAGTCCATTCCCCAATCTGTGAAATGAACATATCACTAGCCCTACTCCTGGCTGATTTCACCATAACCCTGGGTGTGTCAGCAGCTAACTTGTGTCTGTAAAAATACGTAAAAATGTGAGCCATGTGGGTCCCAAAGCTATCGAATGTGGGTGCTGTTATTATCGAATAGAATAATTTCATTTGCCTCTAGAGGCACCGCACAAAAGTAGAAATGTAAAAGGCCTAGTGAGAGGCAGTGTTACCCAGTGGACAGAGTGAAGGATGACTTTGGCCTTGGGAGACTGGGACTGGACTATAATCCTCCCTCAGAAAATAACCAGTACTGTCCTCATGAAGAAATCGGTTTGTCTCCCAGGACCTCAGCTTCCCGGACTAAGAAGAGAAGATAATTATACTTGCAGCGTCTTCCTCTTCAGGTTTGCCATCAGAAAAGCGTTTTGTAAACGTTAAAGCCGCAAACAAAAAAGCAAGTTATTCTTATGGTGTTGGTAGGACGCCAAGGTTTTCTAAATTTCTTGAGATGCAAAAGTCTGTATTCCCATTTCTTAAAAAATAAACAGAAGGCCAAAAATGCAGAACAGGGACCACAATTTCTAACCTAATGAAGTATACTGAAATGTCAGTCAGTTCCAAATATTTTAAAAGGGAACATTTTAGATTTAAATTCAGTCATGAATATGTTCTCATATTAATTAATAGGGTCTCTTTCGATACTTGGAGATGGTGTTCAACCTCAGAAAGTCCCACTGATATATGGCATGAATCTGCAGTTGCTTCTGCCTCCGGCAAAACTCCTCCAGCCTGATGGAATAATACTCAGGAGCTTTCTGTGTCTCTTTTAAATTAATACACAGGTACATGAGCTAGAAATGCTTCATTATAAATCAAACATGACCATGGAAGAGTATGATAAATACCTCCATCTCCTCACTAAAGATCTATTCTCCATATGACCTCATTCCCATACATATGATTACTTAACAAGATTACACAACATGAATCCATAGCCACACTTCATCAGACCATTACTTATACTGTGATCTTCCTGAGTCTACCTCACCCCTGCTCGTGGAGGGAGATGAGCATGCCCTTCAGAACTGGTGAAAAGCTGTTGACAGGTCAACCTGGCCCTGCACATCAGTTAAATATCAAACCATCCTCCTGTCAAACATTGTCTGGTCCTCACCACTTATCAGTGTTGTAATAACTATGTGCATGAGGTTGTGCTAGGAGCTGTATAAAATGGCCAGCATTTGTCACTTTTCCTTAAAAGACTCCTGGGTCATAGCTGACATGAGGTCAAGCGTCCTGGTCACAGACTTACCATTCTGTGCTGGGCTGAGATGACACTGTCCCAGTCAGCATCTTGTTGAATGGTGGTGACAAGAGTTGGTAGCTCCTCAGAGTGAGGTTTGTTGTGCATGATAGGGTGAAGAGGCAGGTGGGAGGTCACGTGCTGGTCACTGCCCTCTTCCTTTTCCCGAGAGGACAAATCTTGGGTCATCGCTTCCTCTCCATCAGCTGCACAGGCAAATGGAGAGGCGGCTTGCTTGGAAGACATTCTTCTGCAGAAGGAAGAAGGTGGCACAGATCAGCATGGACTGCTGGAATCACAGGAATAAAACTTGCACAAGTTCTAAACCAGCAGTTACTGACCTGGGTTCTACAGACCCCCAGTGGGCCCATGGATAGAAGTGGGGGGTGGGGGAGATCTGTAAACTTAAGTGGGAAAAAATTATTACAACTTTATTTCAATATAATTGGGTTTTTTTGTCATCTTACGTATTTTATTTTAGGCATTTAAAAATATTTTTAGAAGGGGCCAACTTGTAATCCCAGTAACTAGCATAGTAACTGGCACAAAGTAGGTACTTAATAAAAACATATTGATTAATTGATGGACCAACTGTATATTTCTAAGTCATTTCTCCCAATTGTAAGATGGGCATGAACTCAGGAGAAAAGGGAATTCAAGCTTGTCTTACTGTCTCCATTCAAATCAAAGCAACAAGCACTTAAGCACAGACTCCTTGCTAAGCACTGATGTGGGAGGTATTGAAGTGACAAAAAAAAAAAATGAAATACTCCATGCCCCTGTAAGAGCTTATAGCTTCTCCCACTTTCTGACCTTGGGCAAGTTATTTAACCTTTCTGGGCCTCAGTTTCCTCATCTGCAAAATGCTAGCATTGGATTAATTAACCTCCAAGGTCCTTTCCAGATCTAAATCCATTGTACTATATAATATGAACATTCTACTGGCAGGGGAGGGGAAGGATGCACCATCTATCCAGATAAGTAACTACAAAATATCCATCCTTTCCTTGGATAGCTACTGAGTTTTCATCAAAATTCTTCCTATACTTTATATTCTCTCTGAGCCCCAATCTATCCACAAATGGGTTTTTAAGGAACAGCTCTGGAGTTTGTACCCATCTTTCCCCAGTGTCCAAATTAGTCAGCTGTGAGCATGATTTGAAGAATCCAAAGGCCTAAATTCCTCCAATAGCCTTTGTAAGAACCAAATTATAATCACAAAGAAAGGAAGTCTATGCAGGGCCCTTAGGAAATTTAGCCAGGGAAGTAAATAATTTACTATGGAAGTCCTAAGCAAATCAGATTCTTGAGTTCTGATTTAGTTTGTGCCTTCTATTAATGAGTTCTATGCTTAATGCTTTTTGAAGCCAATCTGATTCTTTTCCAAAGATTTCCAAGATATTTACATGTCAACTGCTATAAAAGTTTAAGTGGCATATTGATTGATTGGCTGATAATGTGTGATTAGTCTTAAGGCAATTTTGTACCATTTGAGTTGAGTGCCTGAAATAATTATATTTCCATTTTATATTAGATAGTACATACAAGATACAAAGCATTTTCAAGAATCCAGTGAAATGAGAATAGTGAAATGACTGCTGTGAATAATATTTTTTAAATCTGTTCTCCAAACAAATGACTGAATATTCATTTATACATATATCCAAATATAAATATATTGACAACTCTTATGTGATACCATTTGAGGAGTCAAGTTTATGAGAAGATACAATGTCTCTGTCCTGTCCTTTCAGACAGTAATAGAACTACAATTCTTCGACTGAATTTTTTTTAATGCAATAACACTTTATTATTGAGAAAAATATTTTCCTAATTTCATAGATAAAAGTAAATAGGTAACCACGTAACTTAAGAGGCATGACAACAGGAATATACTTTTCCCTAATTTTTGGAACTGCTTTAAGTTTGTGACATCTTTAGTACTAAAACTGCTATGTAACGAAAAGAAGATCCCCCACCTTAATTGCTCTTTAACATTAATTGATTTCATACCATTTTTTAAAAAATGCACAAATCAGTTAACATAGGAAACCACATGAGCATTTTTCAAATTAGCAAATCATTAACTTGCTAGTACTGTTTCTACAGACAAATAAATACTGATTAAAGGGTCTAGAAATCTGAGATTAACAGTTAAATTTACAAATCTGTCACATGCTTTCATGAATATTGCAGTGAAGGAAATATCAAGTGCAAAGAAAAATAATTAAGTTAATTCCAATTTAAACAGTAGTTTTTATGTAGCAGCCCATGTTTCACATAGGATTTAACAGCTAATGCTAAATTTCTCACAATTAATGAGGGGGCTCAGATTTAGTATCCTACAGTGAAAAAAATTAATATAGGATCAGCTAATCTAATTATGCATAGTTCTAAATAAAAGTAGTACAAGCCCTGAAAGTACTGTGAAGCATATTAAAATGTGAGTACCTGTTTATAATAACCATCCTACAAATAAGAACAAAAATCCCTATTAAAATTGGGACCTAGAAAGCAACAGGGAAGTGGCTCAAAGGAATCTGTATCTGTGTCTCCCTGGAGGAGACAGGTAGGAAATGTCTGCACAAGAGTCATCAGTCTGAGAAGCGAAAGAAGACAGATGTGCCCAGTTTGGCCGAAACCAACCAATAGGTGAAGTGCCCCTAAAAATGCGACCAAGTCCATGAGCCCATCTGGATCTTTCTTCCTTTGATCCTCTAGCTATCACTGAGGCAAGGTTGGTCACTTTAAAAGAACTGTGACCTAAGTTTCTTAGGATATTGCTACAAACAAGAGAGAAGTTTCCATACATTGGATGAAAAGAGATGCTCTCATGTAGGGATGAATGTAAATATTCATATTAAAACAAAAGAACAAATGGGCTGCCATTTTAGAGACATTTTGAAAAAAATGTTTACTATAATTGAAAGGCACAATACAACGTACTCCCAGTGGTTTCACCTCTCTGACAGACAGACATCATCTTATTGCAAATTGAACTGGCTCCTTCCAATGGCTACGGCTTTGGTTATTTCTCTGGGATAAATCAATCAGAAATGAAAACAGTCTCTTAAGAATAATTCCATCTATAAGTTGCACCAAGGAACAATAGTACACCATCTTCATTAAACACAACCATGCAGCTGTGAAAATAGTCTAAATTTGGCCAACACCATGAGTTGGGTTTCAAGGCTGGTTTGTTAAGGAGTGTTTTCTTAAGGAAGGCTGGGCCCTCGGTCTTAATCAGCCAATAAATTATTTCCTGCAATTACATTAAATAGAAAATTATCTTCAAATTGGGAGTGTTAATTGAAAATCAAAATTCAGAGTGAAGTTTAGAAATTACACGCTGAATATAATTAGTCGGGAAAGGCTTCACCTCGACTTCATAAACAGGCTTTTGGTGATTCCTCCAATGACCATTCAGAAAACTCCCACCTACTTAGAGCATAACAGTTGTCTTTCATGTGACAGATTAGAATCCTGGTTTTCTACCAATTTCTACAACTGTAGATACACTGATGCCAGATCCAAGTTTTAGGGTAAAAAAGAATCATCAGTTACATATCTAAAGCAATGAAGATTCTTCTCTGCCAACAATGCTATGAGGTAGGTATCAAAAATATTGTTACTCCCATTTTACAGATGAGGAAAGCAAGGCTTAGAGAAGTAAAAGTGAGTATGCCCATAGTTCTACAGATAATCAATTCTATTTTGGGACTTGAACCCCGGCCTTCTGACTCCAAACCCCACACTCTTTTCACTATTCCACAGAGGGCCCTTCGAAAATCCAACTCTATCTATCCTTGGCTATTCATTTTCCTCTCTCTAGTTTCTTGCATTTAACCCAGCTTAGCTATCAAAAATTATTTTGAAATAGGAGATGAAGTTAACTTCATTTCTTAAGAATGAATAGATTGAGGACATTTTCTATTTGTTAGGATTATTGGTTTCTTTTTTGTTTTTTAATCAAAATGGAAATCTTCTTGAATCTGTGGTTTAAATTTGTAACTTACTTCTTATTTACTGAAATACTGTGATTTCACACAACTAAGAGCTTCGTTTTTACTGGGTACCCAGTCACTAATTCTTTGTTTGTTTGTTTGTTTGTTTTAATGACTCTCTTATAAGACTCCTGTCTTGGTCCTCTGAAAACTATATTCTCAAAGCTGGCAAGACACATGTGACTGTTCTTAATGACAGTACTATAACCACTCTGCCACCACAGCTCCCCTTAACAGCCACATAAATCCAACACTCCCACAGTTTAGCTTTTTAAAAAGTCAAGTGCAATGCTTTTTAAGAAATGCTTAGATCAGTGTTTTTTGCATTAAAATTTTTTTCACCCAAGTGTCCAGTATTCTTGACTTGAGCTGTGTGATATTGAAATTTTATTAATGTGTGAGGAAAAAATCACCCCCCCCAAAAAAAAAGTAGAAGTGGTCAATTTCTATTTGATTATATTTTGTTTTATTTCCACACTATTATAACTTAGAATCCATCCAATGAATTGTTTTTTTTAATTTGTATTAAAAAAATATCTCCCTAGCTCTAACCCCCTGAAAACAGGGGTTTATAATGGAAGTGCTGACACAACCCTAACTGAAGCAGCGCAAATGGTGCCGCGATAATACACAAAATCAAGTTCTATTATTCTAAACTCTCCTCGCTCATGGGATTTTTCTTTACTGTGCTCCCAGCCAAACTGCTGAAGCAGGAGAAATTTAAATGCAATCAAATGGGCCCAATTCTACTTACTAGAACAAGTGTCTACAGTGGTACAATCTTAAAAGGAGATGCAACAGATTTGTTTGGTGTTTTTTTTTAACTGTTTATTTATAATACAGTGCATTGGAGATAAAATAAAAGAGGAAATTACACTCACATGGTACCAGTGTATTGACTACACAGAGTACATTATAATCAGAGAGAAAAACTACATTGTCAACTTATCACATTGGTTAAACAGGACGGTTTTCTGGGGGCACCGGGATGATCCAGGAAAGCTAACTCCCAATGCTCATTATCTCTACCTGCTTTATGGGGCACTGAATCCCAATGTCCAAACTTGGTTCCCAGGGTTGGCATGCCTCTAGATCCAGCAGGTAGAACAAATTCCCTAGATGCCCAGTCACTGGGCAGAGTTTCTGGGTATGGGACTTCACGGACAAGACTTCTAAAGACAGGCAGGGTTTCAGGAACTGGTCATATGCTCTTGACCAGGAGTTCTTTACTTAGGGTCTGTAAAGTTTTTTATAAAAAAAAAACATTTTGATAACTACATTTTAATATAATTGCTTTCCTTTATAACCCCATGTATTTTATTTTATGTACCATAAAAACATGATTCTAAGAAGGGGTCTAATAGGCTTCCCCAGA